ACCGCTACCATCTTTCTGTAGAGAGGCTCAGGAACTTTGCCCAGAATTCTGGGATCGTTCGAGAGCTCCTCCCTTCTACCCCTATCGTGAGATGGTAGACACGATAGTTCGGTGGAGGTTAACAAAATTGCACTAGCGAACCAGCCATCGTAATGTGGGTAGGGACAGTGGGAATCTCGTTAGAGAGACATGAAACAATGCGATTTCTTATTGCATGAAGCTGATAACGATGCTGCAAATAGTAGTATCAAGTAAAAACCCCAGCATAGATCCTTGAGGAATGCTTTTGGAAACTGGGCGTTTTTATGTGAGAACCCCATCATTTCTTATTTATCAAGGTGGCTTTTTAACCAGGCGGCAGTCTTCCCAAAACTCTTTTTTTTTTTTTCAAGTGGAAAAGTCTCGCGTATTGCATCTACAGGATAACCCTTGTTTTGAACCTGCGTCTACGCTTCAAGATAGCTGAAAAGTTTGAACACAGAAAAAGGAAACCTTGCTGGTCGAGGAAGCTTTTTTGTAGTGTTAAATTAGGAATCTTTAAACTTCTTAAGTATTTTTATTCTGTTTTTATATGTTACACCTAAACTCATCCCAAAGTAATGATTCTAATCATTTTTGAAGGATCAAATCACTTGGGCTCTGTAGACAGAGAATCCGGTGGTAAAAGGCGTTCTCCGACTAACCAACCAAAGACTAGCCGGAAAGATATTCACCGAAAATAAGATTAAATTGGCCATAAAAAGCCTCAAGCCCTACAAATCACGAGGTGATGATGAGAAAGTTCCCTACAACAGGGTTTGGGAGAATTATCGCTACATCTAGCAAAAATGTTCAAAGCAAATTAGGCCACATTCCCACCCAGTTGGCGGGAGGTGAATCTTCATTCATGATCTTCATTCCAAAGGTTGGTAGGCGTCCTACAATACAGTCTAAATCATTCAGACCAATTACCCTAACCTCATTTCTCCTACAAACTATGAAGAAAATCATTTATCTACACATCAAGAGTGAATTCCTAATGAAAAGCCCAATTTGCCTATCAGCCTGGTAAATCAATTGAGATAGCCTCACACAGTATTGCCACTAAAATTAAAACGGCACAGTCAAGTCAATCTGTATTCATTAATATAGAGGGAGTTCTCGATAACACCTCACATGCATCCATAAGAAAAGCGGCTATAAATAAAGGCTTTGACGAAACTAAAAATTGCATGGGTTGAAGCCATACTTGAGAATAGAAAAATCAAAGCATCTAATAAAAAGTGACTCTGCAACGGCCTCAGCACTCAAGGGATGCCCCCAAGGGGGTGTACTGTCCCCACTGCTATAGTCACTGGTAGTAGATGAACTTCTCATCGCGCTAAGCGCACAAGAGATCACGGTCCTAGGAAATGCTGATGACCGCACAGTCATCATTAGGGGTAAGCACGACACGACAGTGACTTCATGCAAAATGCCCTAAATGTAGTTATCAGATGGGAGGGTTTAAGCGTGAACCCCAACAAAACCATAATTCTACCTTTTACAAGGAAAAGGTGGCTAGGTCTAACAGTCCCAACCGTAAATGGGATACAAATCAACTTCGCAAGTGAAGTTAAATATCTGAGGGCCAGTTTTTCAATCAAGGGATAACTCGCAGAGTTTGCTGTCTCTGGGTCAATTCTAACTCTGGGCTAACTACCTAGTTAAGTCGAAAAGTGTTTATCCATGCTTTTTCAACCCAGGGCTGGTTAACTCTCGAGTTCTTCGAAGGTTGGTATTTCTTATGCAACGTTGCATTTTTTTTTTGTGTAAAAATATACAATATCCTCGAATTCCCAACAGATTTGTAGGGAATTCAAGGCTCGAATTGTTTCTTTTCGCAAGCGAAAACATACGAAGAAGACGTCGTCGAAGGGATTTTACCGCAACCTGGTAGAGGCACCGCTCATGAACAGGTATGTTCTAAAAATTCTAGAACATCTCGATCATCATAACTGAAATCTAGGTCTTCCATCTTTTCACAATATCAAAATTCAAGCCAAAACCACCACTTTTTGAAAAAAATCATATAGAAAAAAGAGAAAATTTTGAGGTTAAGCCAGGGTCAAATACGCTAACTTGCCGTGAGAGCGCAGGTTAAGTTTTTCCTGGAATAACTTTCGAGTTAGCAGTTGACCCTGGATGGGTAAACACTTGTCACAACTTCGACCCAAGGTTATCCGTAACTCATGGGGTAACCCTCTATTGATAAACCGGCCCTGAGAGTCATCCTGGATCAGAAATTTACTTTGAACCAACATCTCAAAACGTAACCGACCAGGCAATAGCCACATACTGGACATGCCACAGATTATTCAGAAAGACTTGGGGTCTAAAGCCGAATGTTATCTAGTGACTACTTACAATCGTCATAAGACCCATTGTCACTTACGCTGCTATAGTATGGTTGGTTGGAAGTAAAACAACAGACAGCGCAAAACTGATTGGCAACTGTACAATAATGCTCAATTTATAGGCTCACCGTCGAGATTCCGTTTTCGTCTGCGTTTGCGTTGGCGTCACTGGTTACCGTAGTCTCTTATGCTGACGGCGAACTGTGAGGCCGACGACGAGTATAAATGATTTTATGGGATTTCTAATATTCAATTGGTTCGACGCAAACGCAAACCGAATCTCGACGGCGACTTTATAAATTGGGCTTAAAGATGTGCATGTTTTTTCATCACAGGAGGAATGAACACCTGTCCAATCGCCGCAATGGAGGTAACGTTGGGCCTCCTCCCACTAGATGGAATAGTGTAGAAAGAGGCCTACATGGGAGCCTCGAGAATAATGCCGTCCCTAAAACTAAAGGAGGGGGACTTTGTGGTCCACATGAGCACTATGAAAGAATACAGAAATGTGAAGGCAAAACCAATTGACCACATGTAACACAGGTACGAATTTGAACATTCCTTCAATGTGGATATTGAAGGACGCAAGGGAGAAAATGTCCTACCTGTACTCCGGAACGGGTCACCTGTCTGGTATATAGACGGATCGAAAACAGAGCAAGGGACTGTAGCAGGGGTATACGGCTCACTGTGGACTATCAAAAGTACTAGGAGAAAGCCCAACCATATTTCAAGTAGAGATATTCGCAATAGAACTTTGCACTAGAAAGTGTCTCGAAATAGACCTGCAAAGAGTGAAAATATATATAATTTCCGACAGTCAGGCAGCACTACGAGCTCTTAGTAGCTCTGTGATCAAGTTCAGACAGATATGGCACTGCCAACATCTCCTGGAGCAACTGCCATCTCGCAATAGAGTCACCCTGTCAGGGTTACCGGGTACCAAGGAGTCGAAGGAAATGAAATAGCGGAGCAACTTGCAAGACAAGGAGCTGCAACACCATTCCTTAGACAAGAAACTTCCTTTGGTATTACGAAAAGCCATATAATAATGGGGGTCCAGAATTTGGTGAAGGATCAACAAGCCTTCCGCTGGAATACTCTTCCAGGACGAAACAATTCATCTCGCCCCAGTCAATAAAGGCAAAGGAAATTATTGACCTTATAGTCCAAGAGCCGGCAATACTAACGGGTATGTGATCGTTGCAATGGATAATTTCTACATAAAACAATAGTTCATAGTAACCTTTAAACCAAATGGATGGGTGGCCTCGATTCTCATGGCCGTAAAGTTGTTTTATGAAAAGATACTTCAAGAACCATAAGCGCAACAAATAAGAAGTAGTACCTTGCGGTGTAGGGGGTTCTCATCATATGCGGCAAACACTTTATTAACACAATTTCATGTTTCTTTGTTTGTCTAAAGACCTACAGCCGCATGCAAAATCCTCTTCACAGAGTCCTTTTTTAAATTTAAAAGTGACTTTGAAGGCTGTCACTTTCAGAAATTTGTATTTAGCAAGCAAAATAACGCGTCCGCCCGATTTTCAATGAGGGTTGCCATCATTTCCGGCCAACAAAATCGAGGCCACCCTATATATTATCTGAGAAGACATATTAAAGAATATATCTACCAATTTTCAGCTATTGCAATAATAACATTGTTCCTTCGGAAAAAGAGGGGTAGTTTACGCCCAGCCATCAAAGGGTTGCGGCCATGAGAATCGAGGCCACCTATCCATTTAGTTTAAAGGTAACTATGAGCTATTCTTTTATGTGAAAATTATCCATTGCAACGATCACATACCCGTTAATATTGCCGGCTCTCCTACTATTAGTAGAGCGGATCTAAGGCTGCTTGCAGACCTCCTTACGGGTCACTGCCCTCTAGGTTACATTCGGGCAAAACCGAGTCAGACCTATGCCGCTTCTGTGAAAAAGCCTCCGAGTCTGCGGAACACATACTTTGCAACACATACACAACAACAGAACAACTGTGCCGCAGAAGACTCATCCATGTGGAGCAGCCTTACTTAACGGCTGTGGATGTGAAAAAAGCCAATCCCAGGAATAGGCTTTGCCAAAAGCCTCAATCTGGGAACCCACTAGATATAAGGGAAAGCACAATAGATCTAATTAGGTCGCAGTGCGGAGAAGTACATAATCTGAACACCTCAAGCATCACAATCTACAATCTAGCTGTACGAAATAAGAGCTACCTATTCATCCTGAAAATTGGGAAATATAGATTTAAACAATAAACGATTTTTTCTGTTTAATTTCTCCTCGCAATATCTGACCAAGCAAAGCTCCCTGACCCATTTGAACGCGATCTCAGTTTTTTTTTTCTGTAAAATGATTAAAAAATATCAAAATATAGTTAAATAAAGATTCTGCTCATGGTCTCGACGCCACCATGGATTTAATTAAATAAGTGAATAAATGTGAATCAATTATTTGTCCTTTGATAAGTCATTCAAGAAAAAGAAAACTGCCAACGTTTATTAAATCCGTGGCATTATTATCACTCCTAAGTCTACTTACTCAACATAATAGATATTCAGGTGAAGCAAATAAGATTCAGAAAACCTGTTTAAAACTAAAAACAATATTATCAGATTAGATGAAATATCGTTTTGATTATTATTTGCGACGTTCCAAATAGCGTTATTAGTTATAGTTCTCAGTTTATTCAAATTCTCGGTTGTCGAAAATGGACTCCTTATCATCTGACTTACAAAAATTAATAAAACATGTAGCCATATGTCAAGGAATAGAAAATTTTATTTTGCATAAAAAAGGCTCGGCATCTAACGATGGTGACGGGTATGTAGGAATACTGGAAGCCTGGCAGCTTAAAGACAAGAACAGCGATAGAAAGCTGGAATTTGTTTTGAAGAGAGCTCCTAAAAGTGAGGCTCTTAGAAAACAGTTTCCAACAAGGCAGGCGTTTTTGAAAGAAATTTATGTATACACGAAAATTTTTCCAGGTACGTTTAGCCTAAAATTAGTATTTTATGCACATACTACCAATATATATTTTTTTTAGAAATAATAAAATTTCAACGAGAACACAACATTCCCCATCCATTCGATTCCGTAGCAATGTTTTATGGGGCAATCGAAAATGAACCAGAGGAAACTCTCATTTTGAGAAACTTGAAAGAAGATGGATATAGTATGCACGACAGACTACAACCTTTAAATTCGCTCCATCTTAGTTTGGTAATTGCTAGTTATGCTAGGTTACATGCGATTTCGCATGCTATGAAAATACTGGACCCTGAACGATATGAAAGACTGACCGAAAATCATCGGTAAAAGCACCTGCTTCGAATAAAGCCTAATTGTCTTACTATCTTTATTTCAAGAAATAACATCATGACGGAGTTTATCCAAACAAAACATCAGGAATCCAGCAAAGGTGGAGATTCTCTAGTCGAAGGGATGGAAAAAACGAGGAAAATGTTTTTTGATCCAGTTTTTGAGGCCATAAAAGATAACCCAAATTTAGCCGAAGTTGTAAAACAGAAAATGATGAAAAGTTTTGAATCTTTCTATAAAGATGAATCAGATAACGATGAATTTACTGTAATTGGTCATGGGGACTGTTGGAATGCTAATATATTGTTTAGTTACGAGGTGAATAAACATACTCTCACTGCTTCCATGGAAAGTGGTAATATTACCTATACCATACATGACGTCAAAACAGATTATACTATACAGGGTGGCCAATTGAAAACGAAACAGAGGTGATTTTGGGCTCCCCAAGACATTTAAGAAAAAACCCTCGTACCCGTCGATTTTTGATTTAAGGGGGAACCATTTTTCTGGTGGTTTCACCCCCTGGGGGGCAAAGCCCTAGCGGGGGTGACAAGGGCCCGCAAAATTTTAAATGGAATGAGGGGTCGAGTGATACCTTATTTTGAAGCTATTTTTATGTAGATTATAACCCCCGAGTCTTACATCGCCACTATCTACCTAGCCATTACAGGGGCTAATTAAAGTTACAAAAACATGTTAGAATATTTTTATTTAAAAAAATGCTTTAAAAACAAAATCAATCAAGTAAATGCTGAAAATGATATAAGAAGAAAAAATCTAACGGGCTTAAATCTAGAGAACGCGGGGGCCTCTCCTTCGAATCCATTGTCCTGGAAACCTTTGGTCCAAATATTGACGAATCACTGCATATAGTGGGTGGCGCACCATTTTGTTGGAATATTAGACGGTTTTCCATGTATCCGTTATCATTCTCTAGTATCTCCACCAATTCTGGATGAATCGCATCTTCTTATCACTCTAGGTACATTGCTCCTGTTAAATTTTTAGGTAAAGAAGGGGTCTATTATACGGTTACCAAAAATGCTAGCCTAAACACTCAATTTCTCGGGATGTTGCGTGTGCACCTCACGAAATATGTTTTCTGGGATTTGAATTAGCCCAATAGCGGCAGTTGAGACGATTCACCGTACCGTTCAAGAAAAAAGGAGCATTCATCAGAGAAATATACAAACTGCTGCTCCATTTCTTGAAAAAAAAATAAATGGGTTATGAGTTTTTCAATGGTGAGGGAGGAGGAAATAAAACGAAAAAAGGGGTTAGTAGCACATCAACTAAAATACCATTTAATTATACTTCATTATTTAATAAAAAAAATTTATATTCAATACAATATTTATTTAATACAATATTTCCAGGTATACATACAATATTTCCAGGTATAATACGTACGAAATAACGTCCTAGGGCATTATGGAGATGTAGAATATTTGAGTGTTTGGGCTAGCATTTTTGATAACCGTATAATAGGCCCCTTTCTTACCTATAAATTTAACAGGAGAAATGTACCTAGAGTGGTTAGAAGTTGCGATTCATCCAGAATTGGTGGAGATACTAGAGAATGATAACAGATGCATACACTAATATTCCAACAAGATTGTGCGTCATCCCACTATGCTGCAGTGGATCGTCAATATTGAGTGGCCCCCGCGTTCTCCAGATTTAAGCCCGTTAGATTTTTTCTTCTGAGGTCATTTTCAGCATTTACTTGATTGATTTTGTTTTTAAAGCATTTTTTTAAATAAAAATATTCCAACATGTTTTTGTAACTTTAATTAGCCCCTGTAATGGCTAGGTAGATAGTAGCGATGTGAGACTCGGGGGTTATAATCTACATAAAAATAGCTTCAAAATAAGGTATCACTCGACCCCTCATTCCATTTAAAATTTTGGGGGCCCTTGTCACCCCCGCTAGGGCTTTGCCCCCCAGGGGGTGAAAACACCAAAAAAATGGTTCCCCCTTAAATCAAAAATCGACGGGTACGGGGGTTTTTTCTTAAATGTCTTGGGGAGCCCGAAATCACCTCTGTTTCGTTTTCAATTGGCCACCCTGTACATATATGTAATATAATATTTTTTCGCTTTTCAGGATAAATCCAACCCCGGTGTTCCCACAAATGTGAAACTAATCGATTGGCAATTGTCACGAGTGGTTCAACCAATATACGACTTGAGCTACTTCTTTTATATTAGTGCTGGTAAAGAAGATCTTTGGCAATATCAAAAATACCTAAAAGAATATCATACCGTGCTATCTGAAGCTTTACGCAATTTCGGCTTGGATACTAAATTATTTTATCCATACGATTTATTGGAAAAGGAATGGAAAAAATATTCGAGATCCGGTAATTTTCTAAAAATAATATTTGAAATTCATTAGTTTATTATGTTTTGCAGGTGTGATTCTGACATGTCTAATGCTTCCACAATCGCTGAGCAAATCCAAAACTCACGATCTTCAGAAAATGGCCGAAAATAACGAAAACCTTTTTGACCCTTCTCTCAAAAGATTTCCAGTAACGAAGATGTTAACACAAAGGATAACCGATCTGATGAAATTTTTGATAGATAGTGAACTGTTGTAAAATTACAAAACGTTAAAAAATTAAATTAGTATTGCATAGAATGAATTAATAGTGGAGTGCCTATATTAAAACCAAACAAATTGAGCAGATTTCTTTATGTTGTCTTCACCTGAATAAAATCACACCTTTCATTGCTAGAGTTTCAATTGGGCAATGTTAGTTTCGCGCGAAACCTCTACTTTTTGATCTGTTCAATTAACTATTTACCAATAACAGACGTGACCTCTCACTTCTCTAACGATAATTGAACAATTTCTTGGCTACGTAAATCACAAAAATATTTTATCCAAGTTGGCACACGCTATTATTCTGTGTAAACTAGTAAAATACAAGAGGTGCAACAGGTGATTAGGAAATAAAATTATGGTACCTACTTAGCCTTAATTTGAGCCACATTATAAAGTATATTAATAGGCTTCCCAAATATTCCATGTTCAATTTATTGTTGAAATAGGGTAGGTTGTTCTGTGGTGAGAATGATTTATCAAAATCAACAGGTGAAATAAGTAGGTAATTTACTTATCAAATAGCTCGTAGACATATTTGCCCAATACGCAAGGACATGCACATCAAAACAATAATAATCAAACAACATTTTACACATAATTATTAGGCATATTAATAATTATAATCTTATGTTTTGTGTTGGGTTGAATACTATCTATTGCAAAATTGTGAAAATCTAGAATTTTTTTTTGTTTCCTTTCAAAATTTATTTCAAAATCATTTAATTATCTCAACTAAGCAGAAAATCCTAATAGGTGTACCATATGTTTACCAATTTTCTTGTCAAGATGCAGATTTGATTCCAGAATATGAGATCCCTATTATCAGCGGATCAGACTTTGTAACCCCTTTTGTTAATGAAATAACAAGAGGCCCATAATATGCTCAGTTTGCTCAGCGAATATTTATTACGGGTGGGTCGATTGTAGATGTAGATTTCGAGAGAGTCGTTTCGGCTTTTCAGCCGCTCAGTACTGCTACCTTTGCAGATATTTTGTACGTGACTCTACATCTTAAGTTGTCTCCAGGAAGCATACACTTCAGCCGAAGGAAGCTATTATCCTGGGTGTATGTTGGCCTACTTCTTCCGGTGACAGGGTTGTCCCCTCGAGGAATTTGAGCCACTTGCAGAATTGGGCTGGACATTCGCAGAGCAGCTACTCTGCGGTCTCTATTGCGTCTGAGCAGAATCTGCAGAGATTGTCTTCCGCTCTGCCCATTAACCTTAAATGGTATCATACTAGGCAGTGTCCTGTGAGCAGTCCTATCACCAATCTGATATCTGGTCTGCTCATGTTTAGGAGCTGTTCAGCTCTTTTTGCTGAAAGGGTAATAAACCTTTTTGACTGTCCCGGTCTTTGCCTCCAATATGAGGACGGTTGGTCTCTCTCCCATTTATTGAGTTCTTCCATGATGTGGCTTTTCATTAGGCCACAATAGAGCTCTGGTCCACGGTATGGTGTTGAGGCCCCTTCCTTTGCGAGGCCATCTGCTTCCTCGTTTCCTTCTATGCCTCGATGACCAGGCAGCCACATCAGCGTTACATCAGCGGTTTTGTGTCGCTAGTGTTTTTAGGGTCTGTTTACACTCCCAGACTAGTTTTGACGTGCATTTGAAAGCCCTTAAGGCTTTTAAGGCAGCTTGGCTGTCCGATAGTATGAAGATGTGTTTTCTTTTGGGGCTTTGGTTAAGACACTCTTGTGCACATATATCTATGGCAAGCAGTTCGGCTTGAAATATTGTAAGATGTTTAGCCATTGCCTTGAAGAGCTTGAAGTTAGGGCCGGAAATGCCCAGTCTAGCTCCTTCCATCCTCCTCTATCTACTTCAGCCCAGTCAGATCCTTCTTTGTTTAGTGAATTCGCTATCGGAGAAATGCTTTGTCAGTTCTAGGGTAGATGCGATGTGCTTGGGGTGTCTTAAAAGAACGCCTAATCTGCAAGAAAGATGGTATGAAGTGATTGTCTTGGCAGCGAGAGAGAAACGTTAGATTCGCCAATATAAGTGTGCTTTGCGTCGTCTAACTTTGTTTAGTCGATGGTACTGTTTAGTGATCTCCTCCCCATAGAGGTGTCTGATAAAGTTTGTGAGGCTTTCGTGTCCCAGGTTTATTGATGAAGTGTTTTCATTCGGGCTTAATGGCCGTCGTAAGTTGGAATTTCATCCTGACGTTTCGCTAGCACGCGTGGCTATGTCATACTCAAGCATGGATAATGAGCTAAATCAGAGTAAAAAAGCCCAAAAAAATCCCAGATTCGAGAATACGAGATGTTCCGTAAGAAACAAATCCAAAATTCCCAAGCACCTGACAAATCCAGACTTGTCATCAATCTCACGGATCGAGTCCTTACCGAAGAGCAAACAGCCATCTTGGCAAAAGGCGGTAATTTTGCAATTACTCCACAGCACCTGCCAACGGAGGAGATTATAGCCAGCGCTGAAGCTGCTATCAAAGCACTACCTTATGTGGAAGCAGAGGAATTTGTATAGAGACGGCCAACATTCTACGACAGGCTCGACCACCAACCAGTAACCTCTCTAAGAAGGAACTAATGGCAATTAAGAAACTGAATTCAGCGGAAGATATGATCATCGTACCTGCAGATAATGGCAACGCAACTATCCTGTTAAGAACTAAAAACTACGACCAGAAAATTCTGGAACTCCTTGATTCATCTACCTACCAAAAGCTGGAGAAGGATCCTACCCAAGCCATTCTCCGGAACACCAACAAACTGATTAGGTCATCTACCCTAACAGACACGGTTAAGAAAGGCATCATAAAAACAGAAGCCACCACGACTCTACGGCCTACCCAAAATTCACAAACCTGGTCCCGTTAAGACTTATAGTGAGTGCACCTGGAGCATCAACCTACAGCCTAGCAGAACATTTTGCATCGCTTCTTCAACCGCATGTAGGAAAAACTAGCTCTTACGTCAAGGACAACATTCACTGTGTCCGGAAAATTAGGGATATTATTCTCCAACCTAAGGATATCCTGGTCAGCTTTGATGTCGTGTCTCTTTTCACAAAAGTGCCATTGACAGAATCTCTTGACTTGATGTCAAGTATCTTCTGCAATGACATAGTTGTGCTTTTCCGGACATGTCACACTGGTAGTTACTTTCTGTGGAACGGCGATTTCTACGAGCAAACGGACGGTGTAGCTATGGGAAGTCCGCGCAGTCCGGTCATAGCCAACTTCTTTATGGAAAATTTCAAGAGGAAAGCTATCGATTCTTTTGATCACAAACCAACGGTATGGATTTGATTCGTAGATGATACTTTTGTGGTTTGGAGTCATGGGGAAGAGATGCTTCACCACTTCCTAGGCCACCAGAACGCGCAACATCCTAGCAACTTCCTAGGCCACCAGAACGCGCAACATCCTAGCATACAATTTACCATGAAAAAGGAGAAAAACCAAGAAATCGCCTTCTTAGATGTGCCCATAAAGAAATCTGGAGGAAAACTAAGCCACACGGTGTACCGAAAACCTACACACACAGACAGGAACCTGCATGCACTCTCAAACCATGGCAAAAACGTGGAATTATAACAACGTTAACAGAATGTTTTCGAGCCACAACATCTCGAGCAGGGACTGAATCCCCTCAAGTTGGCCTTTCTATCAAATATTTAGTTACAATGCACCTGAAATCGACAGGGCCATGCGACCTAAAACTGCACACATCAAAACATGGATGAACAACCAGAGGTGGCTAATGCATATCTATCTGCCTTTCATTTCTCGGGTAATAGACAGGATAGGCAAAGTCTTGAAGAAACACAACATAAAAACAATCTTCAAGCCAACAAAGAAAATACAGCAATCAATTAGATCGGCCAAGGATAAGAGGAACCCACTGTCAAGCGCTGGAGTCTATCGTATAGCATACACATGTGGTAAGGTACAGTGGCGTGTCTAGGCGTCGGCGACGTCGGCGACCGCCGACGGCCTCACACCTAAGGGGCCTCGCTAGAAATAGGTTACCGAAACAAAAAATTTGCACTTTTCGATTTTCCAAAATAAAATGTAGAGGACAAATAAACTTAATCCTATACGAAATTTCTAACAATCATAGAATTCACTGAAAACTACCAATTCTACTGCAAATCAACCAGAACACTCAAATTATATGGTTTTTTTTTCCGGTAAATTGTCGGAAGAATTTGTTAGCGGAAATATATTATAGTCCCCAGTACATCGACCTTTAAATTTTGTTACTCATGTACATGCCAAACATAACACCAAGTCGGACAATATTTTTCATATCTCCACCCTGGGCGATGGGACATTTCCGCGCTAGCTCTTCGTGAAGTTGTCGTTCTGACGTCCCTAAGAAAGTTGATACATGTACGTGTAGTTTTAATGCCAATCAACTGTTTTTTATATTACATTAACGATATCACATTAATCAGACAAAAACCATCTATGGCTTTGGGGAAGGTCCGACGCCCCCAACATGTCGCTGTGGCGTCCCTGAGGAAGTTGATACATGTATGTGTAGTTTTGATGCCAATCGATCGTTTTTTATGTTACTGAACTTTGTACTGCACTTTTTACTGTAATCATTGATGTACCACGCCGAAGCATGCTAGCTGGTGGTTTTTCTTCTTGCATACCTACTTGTCTGCTCTTTGGTTGAGCTTCTAATTCCCGGCTTCTGGGATCCAGCTTGACCGGATTTGGCTTCTTTGGTTTTCGCAGTTTTAGGGCAGAATTCTGCAAAAGCTCCCTAGAATCTTACTGAGCATGGTGATGGAAATATCTTCTTGACGGATTGGCTTCTCACTATTTGAACACTTCTACACTTTTTGACTGCTTCGACACTGAATCAATACAATAATGAATGCAATGAATAATGAATCGGGTCGATGTACTGGGGACTATCAATATTTTTGACTGAATATTATTATCGAATATATATCAACGATATTTCCCAGCCCGGAAAAAGGGGCGTGACACCTTCGGTTATCCTTCCGCGGTCCTACCGGCGGCTACCCGTCCCCCGTCCCTGTCGTCATATCCAGCTTTTTGTCACAAGAAATATTGCCACTTTACATAAAAACGGCCTCGCAATTTGGATGTCGCCGACGTTCACGTTTGGTTTCACTATGCCACTGGTAAGGTATACATAGGAACGATAAAAAGATCCATGGGAACCAGGATGAACGGGCACAAAAAAAACTGCAGACTAGGACAATCAGAAAAATCGGCAGTTGCGGAACATGTGCTTAGTCAAGGAAATCACGAAATATTCTTTGGTGAGTTCAAGCTTCTTGCACCGACTTCCGGATACCACAATCGTCTTGTACCTACGTGAAGCTATAGAAATCCACAAATATACGGAGTACTTCAACAGGAAAGAAGAAACACTAAAACTTAACCAAATCTGGAACCCGATCCTCAAAAACCCAAGAAAGATCCCATTGAGTACAGAGAAAATTCAGATTAGCCACGTGCTGCAAAGCCCTGCCCCTCCCCCTCCACAGCCACTCACACATAAATACAACTTAAGATCGGGAACGCGTCAGTCTGCTACTAGAATCGGACATGGAAGCACCTCTGAAGATGTTAGCCACGGGTGCTAGCGAAACGTCAGGAAGAAATTCCAACT